CAAGTTACCGACTAATTGTTATTTATTTCAAATTTTATTCTACTGTTGCCTAATCATCCGATTTTAAAATCTCTCCACTGTATTTAATTTTTGGGGCCCCTAGTTAATTGTTAACTTTTCAGATATTTATTAAAAGAGTCATCATATTTTATTATTGTTATAGTTTGTTAATTTTGGTAATTTCCTTTTATTAAATGTTAAATTTTTACTAAATCCTTCTGATTTTCTGAATGATTAAAATAAATTATTGTAAGTCAGCAGCTTAAACGGGTACCTAAATTTATTTAAAGTTTATTGAGAGTATTTAATTCATGTATTGTTGTTGATTATTGTTGTTGTGTTTTCTTTTAAATGGTTAATTACAGCTCGTTTCTCTCAAATGGCGTGTTGTTCTTGAACCTCCATCCATGGTTCTCATTTTGTTAAGTAAAGTTTTGTGAGCCGCTCCTCGGGCCTGCGCATGGATCACGCTTCCATTTCGTTAGTCTGGGTGCAGGCACGAGGGCATGGTTCAATTATTTAAAATCATAGTAGTAAAAGAAAAGGACTGTTACTAATACCTCATGGTAATGCATTTTATGTCAGTAGGCCTATAACTTTATTAGTCTGAACTAGGTTTCACTTTTCTTGCCAATTTTCATTATATTATGCTGAAACTACCACGTATTTTAAAGTTGCCTGTTGCATTTATCGACAGTAAATATTCTGGTTTCTGATTCGGATTCATGTTCAAAAACCAACCAAGCACACGATTAATTAATTCGGAACGAAATTGTCTTTGCGTATATACACAAATTCAAATAAACAGGGGGACAAGCCTCATAGCACTTACCATCACAACCTAAGAGAGGCAAAGGTATAAAATAACTCATCTATATATTTAATACCATCAAGTTTTTTCTCTGTAATATCCCTTTTTCTGCCACATTTCCTTGTTTGCCGAGACGACCTGGTATTCGTTAGCAAAGTTGACAAATACGTGCATGACGTTAACTTACAAAATCTCGCAAGAATCGATTGGAAAACTAGTTTCTGAGTTGCCAAAATGTAAGATTGGTGGTTGCGAAACTGGTGTGCAGAAATGTGTCAACCAGTTGCCAGACGGGCCTACTTTTACCTCGGCCACCATGAACCTGAATGGAACACCGAATACTGTCGCTGTAATGAACATTGAACAACGAGGTACTGCTCCACATTGAAAATCGAACAATATTACAGTACAACAGTACACATTTCTGGACTTTTAGGAATAGCTAAATACAATGTCAGAAATGAAGTGCATAGTCTGAGGTACGGTTAGAAAAAAACAAGACCAGGGCATGTTGTTTTGGGCAGGCTTTTCATTAATTACCATTGGCTGTGACAAATTTAGATTTTGAGAATTTTAAGAAAAGACTGTTTGTATTTTTAGTAAGAACCCACTCTATCACATTTAAGTTTTTTGCATGACAGATAAGTTAATGGGAACTATTTGAAATGAGGATGTCAAATGTTATTTAGATATAAGAAGCGTGAATTTTAATTTAATTACCTAATTTATTGCATATATCTCTCGCCATGGTCTGTAACTTGTTTGATAGTTAATTTGTAGTTATTTGCAGATACAATGACTGTAATTTACTCCTTGTGATATACATTTACCTTAAACTGAATACAAGATGTATTAACCAAAAAGTGACCTGTCTATGCATGTACACAAAAGTGACAAATAAATATCTTATATCTGAAAGGGTGTCCGGTGTCCGCACTTGTGTTGTATTGAGCGAGTTGTTATGTGTCTTTTGCAACAAGATGTGATAATCGTGAGAAGAGGCATAACTCGACATAACAAAGTAGTTCAGGGGCCAAAAACCTGAATTTGATACGAATCCATCGCGAATTCAAAGACAATCACCTCATTTCACCAACAAATAATACAGTAGCCAACTTGTTTGATCAAATAACAGTTTTACACTGCTATAAACTAAATATTTGAATGGAATGAAACACTTGTCACTCTAATCAGTTAGTATTATATTTTATTGCAAAAATGTCACATAAATGCAGTGTTTAACTCAATTCACGACTTTTAGCAAATTTTCCCATATAGGGAATAAGCTATTACCTTAGTACTCATCCAATCGTAGTATCGTAGTAAATCCAATCAGGCGAATGGAAATTCGCTTAGTCTCCAGGTTTGCTGCAGCGGGGGTATTTTTACTTTAAACTGTTCAAGACGTTTCTAAAAACTTATGTAAAACGAAAATGGTCAACCATGCTTTCTTAGAATAATTTAAAAAAGATTGGAAGTAAAACACTACAATGTGACACACCACACGAGTTTCTCCTAGTTTGTATTCAGACATTATTCTCTGGCCTCACTTTCTGACCACCGCCGCTCTGACCGTGTAAATATAACTGTTGGCCTATGAAAATAATCAAGTTTAAATACTCTGGGACTCATTAAATATATTTTCATTTCATTATATTATAAGGTTATATTTGAGATTTGAGGATTGCATAGCTGTTGGCTTTAAATATTTTATACTAGATTGAATGGGCGATAACTATTGATGCATTCCCACTAATTGACAAAACGTCCTGTTGTAAATTATTGCAACAAAAAATTAAAAAATTTAAATTATTGTAAATTATTGTGTACACACAGGCTAATGTAATCTAGTGGAACATTGCGACTTAAACGCAGAGATGGAGACAAAGTTCTGTATACAAAATTTATAATTTCTAAGAAACCTTAATTGAGACAAGACTGTTGAGTGATGGCCGATACTCAACCACCCAAAGATAACTAGACATTGGCATAACTAAAGTTTGTGGCAATGTGCACTTTTTCGGTTCAGCCATCCTGCCTATCATCAATCGTATTCTTGCAACTTGTTGAAACTGAAATTGCAAAAAATACCCACAAAGCCAGTCGAATTAGTAACACTATTGAGTTTACTGTGGAGTCTCATCAATGACTGGGAAACGGACATTTAATCTCAGGGTTAAAATTGATCTGAAATTTGAACAGGCTAGACAGTTATTCGGGGTGGAACTGACAGAATGTCGTTTTCCTGAATGCCAAACACTTGAAAATCAGGTAAAGCCTCGAAGGGTGTATACGAACTTTAGACGGTTTATTTAGGTTAGGTTGTATTTCAATCCCAAATATTAATATGACCAAAGACATTCCTTGAAGGAGTCGGTATTTTTTATCGGAGCTTGTATTGCTGTTTATCAACGTTATGCAAGGCACAGTTTTATACGTCTTGCTTTGCAAGTGTTTTATGACTACTTGTACCCTCGACCCTACAAACCACACGACCACCGAGAGAGTTTCTTCATCGAAACTCCAAAAGCCATTTGGGTTTGGTTGAGTGCAAAATCGGCTGCTTATGATCAATAAACACAGGTTATGAGCAACAGTTGGAGTATCGAGAACGACAGGACACGACGTCGATGTGTCTACTCTACCGGGCGTCCTTCCGAGGTATGTAGCACACTTTCGCGTCAGGCGCAGGACACAAGTAGTGTATAAGCGTTCTCGACCGTATAGATTTGTGAATCTACGGTTCAGTTATCGGTACTGCTTATAAATATTCAATTGAACTAAAGCAACAGTATATACAACTGCATGCTTTGGTATACAGTATGAATAACACGTTTGCAGAGGTGCTTTTGGTGGGAGCTTGAGGCGGTAGTAAGGTGTTGACTTAAACGTACAATGACCTTATCATTCCCGCAGAGTATATTGTTTTATAAATTGAAAATGAACCGGACATAGCAATGCTTTTTATATTATTTGTATATTTTTTATTTTTTAAGCCTTAATGTTTATACGGTAGATTGTTCACGATTACTGGTAAACTTCTGGAGAGTAATCCAAAACGACAAACAATATTATTATGTACAAAGATTTCTATATCCGACCAAATGGCGTGCCGTTACTTCGTGGGGATTTGGTTCAAGGATTTATCATCAAAAATAAGCTACAGCTTTTCAGTAGGCAACATTTTTATGCCTAGTCCTTATAACCAATTGTTATTTGTTATTGTAATGTATGTTATTAAAAAATATAAACAAATTAAAGGTGCTAAGTTGAGGAGGCCAACAGTTCATTTACTTCAGTCCAAGAGAACATGCAATTCAGTTAGTTGATGAATGCAGGCTATTGCGAATTTTCTGCATTCATATAGCTCATGTAAATGTATGGTAAAATAATTAAAAAGCTTAGTATAGAATCAAGTAGAGAGTCACTAAATTGAGGTTGAAGAGCTATTGAGTTAAGGAATGGCATGATTAAGTTGTGGAAGTGAGTTAGGAGTCAACTCTCTCGTTTTCTCTCGCCATGACCATCGCTGACTGACCAGCACAAGATACACTAGTAAAACATAATCACACTAAAGTTTTATACAATTGCCAATCATACACACTAGTACACTCATGCAATATTGTAACTGATACACACTGGTATACTCAAACACACTTTCATCTCCTAATATTGACACTGATATACACTAGTATACTCAAACACTCTTTCATCTACTGTATATACTATTGTGTATGAAGTATGCTACAAGTTTATAGTAGTATTGTGTTTATGAAAAACCTGTTCTTGTTAAATTTATTTATATTTTTTATTTATAACATAAGTTTATTTATATATATGATTAATTCTGTTGCAAGAGAACATTTATAGTGTACTCACTGTTCTGTAAAACTGATCAAGGAGAAAAAATAACTGTTTGCCCCCAGAAACGAGAAAATGAAATTTATTAATACAAATTTATGTTTTTCATTCCCCGCGTGCTTTGCATGGCACTTGGGATATTGTAAATAATTTAGGAATTGCACGAATAAAACTTTTCGAATTGAATTGACACTGATACACACAAGTATACTTCACTAAACACATTTTTCTTTCCTTAACTGTTAAACATCACATCCTAATTAATTTCGGATATTAACATTTATGTTCACGGAATCGGTCTTAACTGACTAAACACTGTCCAACTGACCTTTTTGTGGTTCCAGAGGACGTTGACGCTAGGTTTCCCTCGGCGGAAGTCGGATTGGTCGATCACGTCGTCATGTATCAGAGATGCGGAGTGGATCATTTCTGCGATCATCGCCACTTGTCTTTGAGCCGGCAATAACCCACTGAAGCAAAACAACACTGCTACTACTTCGGTTAACTTATTATATTTGTTTGAATTATATACCCAGGTTCAAGAACTTGAATAATATTAAAGTAGTTATTACCTTTTTTGTTGTGAGTATTCTTGATTTCTGGGACAGGTATGACCTAAGCGCCATAGATACCATAGGTAGTTCAATTGTGACTATTTGTAGACCAAGATGGTTTACACTCTAACAATCGTAGTGAGTTTCATCAAAAGGTTGTTCCAGAATGAATATTGTACATTTCATAATTAAAACATGTTTACAAAAGGCGTACAACATTAATTTTTTTGGGACACAAATCTTAAACTTTGAAGTAATTAGTCTGTATCAAAACGTGATATGGGGTTCTGGTGTTTATGGTTAATGAACTGGTTTATAATAGCTTCTAGAAATTAAGATTATCGTTAAATTTGGAGTAAATACAGTAAGTTAAGTCCAACAGCTATGGTACAAAAACATAGTATACAAAACAGTGACGGCAATATGTGTTACTAATAGTTACATACTGCAGTGGATATAATGATTGATAATGGTCCTTAACAACATTGGAACTAGAGAACCATTATAGTTGGCACTAGCTACTTTAATTTCGAGCTCACTCAGATGCCTCATCTTTGAAACTACCCAAGAACTCAGACAGTAAAACAGAGAGATAACTACTTCAATAACACTGGACACACGCCAAATAGATTTGCAAGGATAGAAGGGTGAGAGTAAATGGACGGCCCAGTAAGATAAATAGTTGTTTGTCCTAGGAGGCAAGGCATGAACCTGGGATAGTTTTTTCACATTACTCCAGGCTAGACCTAGGGGTTGGGGCATTATCACTTAGATCAAATCCATTGGCGATTTGGCGGGATTTGAACCTTGGACCTCGGGGACCGAAGTACACACTAACTCACTCTCATAACTAACTCTACTCTCATTCTAATCCTAGTTTCAAACAATATACTGTATAACCGTCCACTAGACAACCAAATGCATACCGAGTATAAAGTTTCAAGAAAAAACGTCTAAAATAGGCGAGGTGGAATCGAGATTCGAGGGAAGTTGTACCCACCGGGATGGCTGTACATGCAAAATACTGAAACAACTTCATGTTTATGTAGGTACATTAAAAAATATATTATAAAAAATAATAGAATGGAGTTTGGATAAGAATAAATATACTGTAAACCAGCTTCATTTTTTGATGGATACGAGATTGTCGCCGGTAATATAATGTTGACTGGTAAAATAATTTTTATTGGACAAAACATTCAATATTAAGAACAAATACCCTACCATACCAGTACTAGGAATCAGATATTTTGAGCTGATAAGAATCACGAATGAATATATTGAACAATATGCAATACCGTACGATGGGTTGGGTTGGAAGACTAAATAAGAGACAAGAAGTTGTGAAACGTTACAGAAGAGAAGTGAGTGACGAGGAAAGGAGAAACTCAGAGAAGTAAAGCCTCTCAACACACGATGGGTAATGGCTTGAGGCCTACCGTATACCCACATACACTAACACGAACATTTTATGTTAAAAAACTGAAATTTTGCAAAACAAAAGAACTACTTGAGAGTATTAATTACGGCATTGTTCTTATTCTAATGGTCATCGTCTTCATCATCTCTGCAAGAAAAACATTATACATAGCCTAAAATGAGTTTTAATATTTTTTTCTCAAAAACCTCGACTGTTTTCCAGCAAAACAACAATTTTTGTTCGGTTACTGAAAAACTTAACTCAATAGAGCACTAATTGGAAATTTTTTCACTACACTTCTACAAGCATATTACCAAATACATTTTGATCTTTCCATTTGAAAAGAGTTACTTTAACCAATGGCATGAAGGACTTGTACATTAGAGAATTGCCACGGTCACCGTCTAGCGAGCTAGTGGTAAATGTAAAGCTAACATCGTCAAGGTGGCCTTCGCCTTGACGATCACAGGAAGGAAATGAGTCACTTGTCACTCCTGGCTCACGTAGCTACACGACTCTGAGTCTGGCAGACCTCTGCAGAAGAAATGTACGTGACGGGGGTATTACATTATCTCTGCGTCTGCTACACCAGGCCATTCCATTGAATCTGAATCTGCTATACCAGGCCATTCCATTATCTCCGCTTCTACTAAAACAGAAATTCTGCGATCTTTTTACTATGGCATGATTATGTCTCTGCACTGCACCAGTAAAGTGTTTACACTTTCTCGATAGCCGATGTACAAATATTACTCGCTGTATTAAACAACTACTTCTATAGACTACAGTAGAAAGACTTTTGTCCCAGTAGGTCGAGTCGTCTAGGGCACATCTACTCCATATACATGAGCCCAGCGATACTGGTAACGACTTGTTGTTATGGTAACATTCGAGTTGTGCAGTTAGTCTCGGCCTTCAGATCTCTTCCCTCGTGCTTTTGACCCGAGAAGTATCCTTGAAAACGAACATAGTTGTCGGTCTAAACTGTTGAACTGCTGTTATCGGCCCCTGTGGGTGAAATGTTCAGTGTTTTGAGTGATGCCAAAATGGAAATAATGAGTCGTTGATTTCAAAAAAACGTTGCCAACATGTGACTTGCGTATAAAGCTTTAATCATCTGCCACTCTAATGTTATAAATAACTCCCAACGATTGCTACTTTGCGAAATGAGAGAACATCGTTGACATACCTATTTGTAATTGGACCGTTGAATTTACAAGTTTCATACAGATATACAGATGAAGTTTGATATCATCGTATGAAATAAACCATGAGTAATTCATTTGATTACCTTTTGTGCATGTGGTGGTTGATGGCGCGTGCCATAAGTATAGCCACCATGGGCCGCAAGGCTTTGCCTTGTCCATCGAAGTAGTAGGTAGCTATCGTGTGAAGTTCGTCTTGGTTCGTGTTCCATCTTAATTCCTGAAATGAAAAACTCTGTTGAGAAATTTGTGCTGCAAAATCATCATGTGTTGAAAACAAGTTCTAATGTAGTTTACGCAACGATCACGTAAAGATAGTGTATACGACAAAAGTATAAAATTTTTAAAACTTCTACGAGTTTTGTTGAGACTATTTACGCAAGTTGCGTACACTAATTTATCTATGACAGTTTTATAATTATTTAGAATAAACACTCATAACTTCTAAGAGAGGTAATGTTTTCGTTTATAACCTCTCATTGCCACTGACAGTGATGCAACGAATCATTGTGCACCACTCATTAACAATTAAGTTGGTCTTAACAGTTGATTAGTTGACGTTCACATTACATTTTACTTCTCTCTGAATCCTTGAACCTTATTGGTCCATTACCGTGTTGTTAAGTAAAACAACAATGATTTTAAGTAAGTTAACAATTCTGTTATGTAAATCTTTTCAATTCTAAGAACTGAACTGAAACGGCTACTTTATAAAACGGTCAGCAGGTAATGTAATTTAGGTAAGTTTCAGCCATTTCTGGGTTTCTCGATTGTTGCATACCAAAATACGATATCATTGACTTCAGATGGATTCACTCCTATAAGTAGACCAAAGTAGCCTTTTATCCCTTAAAAACCATACTAAAGGGTTTTACCAAGGCTGGATGGCCATCTTTTATTTATTCTACTATCTTTGTATCTTATTCTAACATAATACAACATGTAACTGGCTTTATTATACAGTACAGCATTAGGCAAAACCGTTAAAGCTGCATAGAACTTTGATTTCGCTATTAAAAATGGAATAATATATTAATTTTTTAATAAGCCGAGTGAATGTTGTTCGCATGTCTAAACGCTAAAAGGGTCAGATGCTATCGGTAAAATACTTAGCTGGTGCAAAAAAGTGACAATTGAAACGAATAAAATTTTAATAAATAGCGAAATCGGTTTCTGAAGCACGTTTCCCTAGGATTAGATAACTAAGTAGGGACCAGAACGACCACACGACTTGGTCCTATCGTTCAACAAACAATGAATCAAATAGAGATTCAATCAGTGACAGCCACTGCTACTGTTGACAAATCACCATAATGCTGATTGGAGTGATGCGATGACAGCTCCCGACAGTTGACTGCTTCATAGTTACGAATTGATACAAATGGTTATTTACTTTGGAGCTCAACGTTTACTTCGAATTCGTAATCTTTTCGACTCAACATTCTACAGTAGATATCTCTGGCTTGTGTTGTACTTGAAACTCGGGTGTTTTTATGTTTGTTAAAGAGCAAATAAACGTCTTTAAACAGAACTGTAACGGTTTCACTGCGGACAACGCCTAAACAATGACAATTCGACACACTTACGAGAACTGGGAACATTTAAAAATGTATATTACAAATGTTACAGGATCTATATTTTTGATTAGAGCTAAATATGTTCCCACTGTTTACTAATACATGTCAACTAAGCAGTAGTTGATGAATGTTTTTAAACAAGGTGTGCCAAGTGACTAGAAACCATGAAACCCTAAACTGCGCTTATCACATGCATTTCAATTTGCTGCGAGTGGTCCAGGTCCAGGTCTAGTGGTCCATTATAGGCGTTACCGGGACGGCGCGCGACGCGGCGCTGGAAAGTAGACCGGCAACCCAACGAAGATCAAGGTCTTAAGAAAGCATGACCAACGCGTCAACGCGTTAGTCACTTATTGCGGGCCTCGGGCCCGAGGCTTTGTCCTAGTCAGCCTTGTGCGATGTATTCATCAACACTGACACTCCACTTATGACTGTTCGAAGAGCTCGAGTAAAAAAAGGATAATGGTTGCTCGGCAAAGGCTTTATAATTACATCGTGGACTCGAGAGGTAGGCCTATATTATTTCTTATGTCGCGTTACAAGAAATTTTCAAAAACATACGGAAGGGATATTTTGTGTGTTTGAGAACGGGCATTATAACAAAGATTCAAGAAAAAAAAAACTATTTAAATATGCTGATTGTTGTATTTTTACATTTAAATAATTGATGATTAATGGACGATTCCGAATTTTATATTTCCAATTTATAAATCTAAAAGGATTAGAGAGTTTGACCGAATCAAAGTCAAATGTTCAAAACTCCGATAATGCATTACCAACTGTGGATGATCTCTGTGTGCGTTATAACCGGTCAACATTTAGATGTGTGCTACAGTACCGCACCTTCGCACGTGTGTTTCAATAGTGGTCTAAATTTTAAGTGCAAGCTATACACGATGCGGTCCTAGACAACGCCTACAGAATTAAAATTTATTCTATTATTAGTTCTAATTTTAATTTTGTGATCACTGGTCCTAGACTATAGCGGTCTACCGGTATCTGAGGATCTGTCAGTCTGGAGGCCTACTGGTTTGACGATCTGCCAGGCTACCAGTCCGTCGGTCAGCCGAGCTAACAGTCTGTCGGTCCGCCGGTCTACCAGTCTGTCGGTCCGCCGGTCTACCAGTCTGTCGGTCAGCCGAGCTAACAGTCTGTCGGTCCGCCGGTCTACCAGTCCGTCGGTCCGCCGAGCTACCAGTCTGTCGGTCCGCCGGTCTACCAGTCCGTCGGTCAGCCGAGCTAACAGTCTGTCGGTCCGCCGGTCTACCAGTCTGTCGGTCAGCCGGTCTACCAGTCTGTCGGCCTGCCGAGCTACCAGTCTGTCGGTCCGCCGGTCTACCAGTCTGTCGGTCCGCCGGTCTACCAGTCTGTCGGTCCGCCGAGCTACCAGTCTGTCGGTCCGCCGGTCTACCAGTCCGTCGGTCAGCCGAGCTACCAGTCCGTCGGTCCGCCGGTCTACCAGTCTGTCGGCCAGCCGGTCTACCAGTCTGTCGGCCTGCCGAGCTACCAGTCTGTCGGTCCGCCGGTCTACCAGTCCGTCGGTCCGCCGGTCTACCAGTCTGTCGGTCTGCCGAGCTACCAGTCCGTCGGTCCGCCGGTCTACCAGTCCGTCGGCCTCCCGGTCTACCAGTCCGTCGGTCCGCCGGTCTACCAGTCCGTCGGCCTCCCGGTCTACCAGTCTGTCGGTCTGCCGAGCTACCAGTCCGTCGGTCAGCCGAGCTAACAGTCTGTCGGTCCGCCGGTCTACCAGTCTGTCGGTCAGCCGGTCTACCAGTCTGTCGGCCTGCCGAGCTACCAGTCTGTCGGTCCGCCGGTCTACCAGTCCGTCGGTCCGCCGGTCTACCAGTCTGTCGGTCTGCCGAGCTACCAGTCCGTCTCTGAGCACGGACGGTATGGTTATCTTGAGTGTGGGGGGTTCTTCCCGGAACCTCAATTGAGTCAAGGGTGTCGCCACCTCTGGTGGATAGGTTCATCCGGGTGGGTCCCACTTCTATACCTGCCTCCTTTTGGGAAACCCTGATGGCCTGGCAGTGATGTTGGGTCTGACGGGCAAACGAAGTAGATCGGGTGCTGGGTCCGAGCCCGCCAGGGGTATCTGGGGATCTATCGCTCTGGTTATCTCTGGTTTCCCAGCAATGGGTAAGGCCTCGATCGGGCAGCGGTGTAAATGGGAGGTTGGGGTTCCCCCCGTCAGCGTGCTGATGGTCCCCTTCCTCCTGGCTATTGATGGCGGGTTCTGCCTGTCAGGGATTAGATAGGTCCCGAGTGTTGCTTGCACTAAATGCGTCGGGGCGCTCTACTATGGACCTCTAGGTTCCGACCTAGTGGAACCCAGGTGGAGTGACGCTTAAACAAGCAGCCGGAATCCCTGGTTAGGATTGAGGGGCAACCCTCTTTCCGAAGGGTCTGCTTCGGCAGCCGGCGAGCCTGATGACCTTAAGTCATCCGCCCATGATGTGCTAAAGGTTGATGCGTAAGCTTCGGCCTACATCATGGGGCCCGGGTATGTCCTGAAGGATAGGTACCGGGTAAGCAGTCAGGGGGCTTCGGCTCTCATGACAACAAATGTAAATGTAAAAATGTAAATGTAGTCCGTCGGTCCGCCGGTCTACCAGTCCGTCGGTCCGCCGGTCTACCAGTCCGTCGGTCCGCCGGTCTACCAGTCCGTCGGTCCGCCGGTCTACCAGTCCGTCGGTCCGCCGGTCTACCAGTCCGTCGGCCTCCCGGTCTACCAGTCTGTCGGTATACGAGCTAACAGTCTGTCGGTCCGCCGGTCTACCAGTCTGTCGGTCAGCCGGTCTACCAGTCTGTCGGCCTGCCGAGCTACCAGTCTGTCGGTCCGCCGGTCTACCAGTCTGTCGGTCCGCCGGTCTACCAGTCTGTCGGTCCGCCGGTCTACCAGTCTGTCGGTCCGCCGAGCTACCAGTCTGTCGGTCCGCCGGTTTGACGGTGTTCCAATGCGAGAAGAGACCAGTACCGGTATACACGTGTATCCTGAGACCTTCTCATGGTCAAGGTCGACCAGCCTCGTATACCTTGCCCAATACGATCACCGACCCCATTAGCATACATCATCAAACGTGATCCATCCTTCTGTCGGTGACCAAATATTTGTAGATTGCCTGGGATTGTGTTTACTTCGTAGAATCCATCCAACATTTGGACGTTATCGCGCGCTTAACTAATGTAAACAATTATCAAAATAATTAAACGCAAAGTTGTTCAAAAATATCAATAAATATAATGGATAAGAGGTGTTCGCATTTACAAAAAAACAATAGACATAGGACAATCTAAACAGATTACACATTAAATTTTCGTAAATCTCTCATACACCTTTGAAAACACCTTTTGGATATTCAATTTTCCATAGACGTGTAAATTATGCGTTAGGATTGTGTATTTAAAAAATATAGTTCCTGAAAAGTCTTTATGCTGTTTAATCCACGACAAGGTTCTACTAAGTCTATTAGACCTAACGCTCTTAACGCTGATATTAGAGGGAAAATAGAAGGGCTATAATTGTATACACAAGCAGAACTGCTCCAACACGGGATGTTAACACTAGTAAAAATAGCAATCATCTTGCTTTCTTTGACTTTTATTGTACAGTACTCGTATACAATCGCAGAATAAAGAGTGACACGTGAGCAAAACAAGATTGCAGCAAACAGTTAACACAAAATATATCATAGTCTTCATATCGCGATACAACATACCACAAAACTATCAAGCTTTAAGTAGGCCTGCCTCTAACGGTTCAAAAAGCTGTCAAAAGTGAAAGCAGAGCATTGAGACGGAGTTGAGATCATTAGGGTTATTATGAGTCTGTTGGACGATGAATGAAAGAAGAGTTGCATAACCAACCGGGCTAATGCGGATGAATGGACTGAATTCGCTAACGATTGAGTAAGATGTAGTCCCATAAGTTACACAATCACAGATTTAAACAACAATGTGGGAAAGAATACACAATCTCCTATTTTCTATTTTGCAGATTGCTCAGTTAGCTATTTAAATACCTAATGCGACTCTTGCTCACGTTCATTTTTCGTAACTTAAATCGTTAAACTTGAGTTGGTCACAAAAAGCCATTTTAGTCCCAACTTTGAAACAAGAGATTGGCGGGTTCCCGTGTGGGCTATAGAGGCGTATGAGGTGGTAAAAATATGCAGGGAGGGAAAAAGTCTCGGGACGGATAAAATAATAGAGATGGAGCTATAAAACTTGTAACAAGGTTACTGGACAAAAACATTTTAAAACCTCCTCGGCGAGCTATGAATAAGAAGAATGTATTCTATGTAAGCATAGGTTGATATGCACTTTAAATAAAACGTTTTTATAAGTGAATACAATTCGGCAAGCCCGAACTCAAACGGAAAACTATTTGTATTCTAGGTACTTTGTTTCATGTTTTGTAGCTCTATCTTTATTATTTTGTTTTTATAAACATTTATACGTCCCGGGACTTTTTCCATCCCGTTTTCGGCAAGTGGCTTTCTGTTTCAATCGAACAATTATCAAAGCATAAATGTGAGTTATAAAATGCAATTTTAAACATACTGTATGTGGTATTACGTTTGGACAAAAACTGTTAGGTTTCATGAAATATACCATGCAGATGATGTGTATTTGAAATAATTTAAACGAAGTTATTCTTAACAAAGGACACATTCTTTGCATTTTTGTTCCCATAGGATACCTTGTAGTTCTACTAGAGAAATCCTAGCAAATAAATTGTTAAGTACATTTTGGTAAAAAAAACTGTATTACTTGCTTGTAAAACATGTAAATCATTTTAAGGTTATTGTTAATGGAAATTATGACAAAAATATATGGCTAACAAGTTGCAAACGAGGAACATTAGTTTGCACCTTAATTAATTTTACAATTTGTAAACAAAACATGGAGAAAGAACTACGTCGTTTTGTATGTAACAAATATTCCTAAAGCTGAAACTTGCGGGTCATCATACTGCACCTGTAGATTTTCACTTACAGTAATATATCGGCAGCCATAAAATATTTTAAATTAATAACTCAACAACTTAGATCAATTTATCATCGATACAATTATTTTTACAATACGTAAGTACGTTACGAAGTGTTGCGATAACCAAATTAATTTAGATTGATTTAGCGTACAGAAAATGAACAATATAATTTTTTAATTGGTGTAGTGGTGTAGCCTTAGATGATTAAGAAACGCAGTTGCTAACAAATAGTAAACAACCAACTGAAAGCTTGCATGCGCGTTTATGTGTGATGGTCATGGCGCACGAGAGACGCCTTTCTCCGCATCAGCTTTCATCTGCAATTATCAGACGCACGAACAAGTTTCGTTTGTTTGAAAAACTGGTATGAAGAGTAATTGAACTACATTAAAGGGTGTTCTATACAGTATTTACCTTACTCATATACTTGATCTACATTAAAGGGTGTTCTATACAGCATTTACCTTACCCATATACTTGAACTACATTAAAGGGTGTTCTATACAGTATTTACCTTACTCATATACTTGAAATACATTAAAGGGTGTTCTATACAGTATTTACCTTACTCATATACTTGAAATACATTAAAGGGTGTTCTATACAGTATTTACTTTACTCATATACTTGTTCTACATTAAAGGGTGTTCTATACAGAAAAACCTTACTCATATAATTGATCTACATTAAAGGGTGTTCTATACAGTATTTACCCTACTCATATACTTGATCTACATTAAAGGGTGTTCTATACAGTATTTACCGTACTCATATACTTGAACTACATTAAAGGGTGTTCTATACAGTATTTACCTTACTCATATACTTGAAATACATTAAAGGGTGTTCTATACAGCATTTACCTTACCCATATACTTGAACTACATTAAAGGGTGTTCTATACAGTATTTACCTTACTCATATACTTGAAATACATTAAAGGGTGTTCTATACAGTATTTACCTTACTCATATACTTGAAATACATTAAAGGGTGTTCTATACAGTATTTACTTTACTCATATACTTGTTCTACATTAAAGGGTGTTCTATACAGAAAAACCTTACTCATATAATTGATCTACATTAAAGGGTGTTCTATACAGTATTTACCCTACTCATATACTTGATCTACATTAAAGGGTGTTCTATACAGTATTTACCTTACTCATATACTTGATCTACATTAAAGGGTGTTCTATACAGTATTTACCTTACTCATATTTCTGTGGTGTTGCTTTATAAAATTGAATCATTACATAATGTTCATTTGGTTTTAGCAAATTTCCCATAGATCTCCTTGCAGTTTTAGCGAATTCCTATAAGCTGAGAGTCGTAAATCGTTGTAAAGCGATGTTATTTGGTAAGAATCTTAGCGAGTTTCCCATATAGGAAATAAGCTATAAACCGTGGGACTCATGATAAGACTTACACCCCATTTACTATTTGGTTTTGAGGTCCCCAGAGGAAAAACTCCCACCGTTCCATGTATATAAATATATATACAAACATTTCGTTAAAAATAAAGTGTTTTTAGGGTACTTAGGTATTTTAATTTACCTACTAGAATTTAAAGTAGCCCTCGTTTGTGTAAATACTAACAAACATAACATTTTCCAATTTCTTTATAAACTTATTTTTTAGATCTTAATAAAACAAACAAATATTTTACTAAATTGAAGCGTTGTTGTATGCGTAACGGTTGCGGGGACAATAAAAAAAAAATTAAAAATTCCCTTGTTATTCTTATAGAGAATAGATAAACTTTTGTTGTATGCTTGTTTAGGGATATATTTTTTATCAATTTTGGCAATTTCGTTTATTTCATACTAAGCTATCGACATTTCAATGGAAAACCACACATTTTGACCTACTCTGTAGCAGGAAGCCTAAGAACTCATTAAATTAATGTTATTAAAACATACATATTTAACGGAATATTTGAGTAAAAATCCAGCCATTTAAATAAAAATTCGCTTAGACTGCAGGTTTGCTGCGTCGGTAATACTTATCTTAAAATTTTTATTTTGGATAAAACAATAGGTCAAATTCGACCAATATTTAGTAAAATGGATTCCAATCTACAAGCTTTAAGCCGATATATTTATAAAACTTATACGAAAGTAGTTTTTATGTAACTAATAAAAAATATTAAATAAAAACGAAAAACCATTAATTATGGTAAACATCTAACCAAAAAACCATTAATTATGGTAAACATTAACTAAAACCCCATTAATTATGGTAAACATCTAACTAAAAAACCATTAATTATGGTAAACATCTAACTAAAAAACCATTAATTATGGTAAACATCTAACTAAAAAACCATTAATTATGGTAAACATCTAACTACAAATTACTAAATGCTCAGACAACATTCACTACGAAGCGCAGAAATCACTAAATAACAAAGCTTAGTAGACCTAATGTTGGAAACCCATCTTGAGACGATTCTAATTTTTATTTGGAAAAATATATAAAAATTCTACGGGCGTATCTAAAATAAGTAATGATCAAATTCGATATTAGTTGATCGCATTGTGGTTCTTTTGAAAGATAGCTTATCGAGGAATTAATTACATGTAATATAACACCTATTACTAAAGCCGCAGGTGAAAATCGTGATTAAGGATATAAAAATTCGCCTACGAAAAAGTTTAACAAAAAAAATGTGGATTGTATGCCCCACACTCCAACTTCTCTAGCACCTGGACACAATGAAATGAAGATTTTGTAAGAGACGTAAACGAGCACATTAAACTCAGTATAATTATGCCAGTGCCTTGACATGATTGCTGGAGACTGGGGACAGTGACTGATAATGATAATGAAGGGGTGTGATGTGGCTGACGTACGTGACGGTCCCCTGCACGTGACGCAACGCCAATCATGGTATATGTCAATAATGGTACGTTATATTCAGTTTTACAACGGTGTCAAGTAATTAATAATTCAAGTGGAAAAGAATTGTTCAAATGCCTCGCTTTGCTTGCAAATATAGTACAGCATATCATTACTTTTTTTCTTTGAACGCAGGTGCTACAAATGGTGGGTAGTAGATTTAAAATTTAGACATTTCAAAAAGCTTATTACAGAGACATAATTTACAGAATTTAATTGTTAAGTCGAGTGGACTTTTCTGCTCCTATCAACTAAGTATTGTTTACTCGTTCAAGCTGTCCAGTTAACGACTGCAAATACTGAATTTGGCAATTTTCTAGTCGGAGCAAATGACAAACAACACATAATCTAGTGACCGCTAGGTTGAGAAGCTTACCTGTCGGATATCGCGGTAAATGTCTTTCAGATCGTCCTCGAGAAGTCTGTACGGGTCGACGTTCTGGTAGTCAGGGAGAGGTCCTGGACCGGCTTGTTGTGAGGAGAAGAGTCTCTGAGATTGTGAAGTAACAGCTCCATGATCCTGCAACATGTCAAACATCTATGAGAACATTTGCAAACATAGTCTAGGAGATGCAATGATTCAAAAGAACCTACCTATTATGCAGGGTGATTGGTCATTAGTGTGACGGCATTTTTTGGTGTAAGTACAAAGTAAATGAAGTGTGATGATGCATATAAGAGCTTCCAAGTCTAAAAATTATCTTCCCAAAGAATTATTTTAAGCTTTTCAAAGATAACCATGTTTTTAAACTTAATACAGCAATTTCTCAATTACCTGTATATGGATTTGAGTTGATAATGTCGTTTTCGTGTTCTACATTAAATTTTGAAAAAGAATAATAGAAAATGACGGAGGATCATTAGTAAAAACTCCATTGTAAATAAATTCAAAGATAAATATTAAGATCTTTAATTAATTTTTTTTTAACATAGGTCTATTGGATTTTTCTACACCCTGTAAACAAAAAAGTGGCCGATTATGTTAAAAACTGCACCATTTTATAAGCTTTCCAACCATATGCTACACCATTGAGCTTTATGTCTGCTTATGTACGCTTTAGTGATTTGAAGACTACAAAACATGGTGTCTTTAAAATTTAAAACATAGAAAGTCGGCATGTATTAAGCAAAAGTTGTATTTTTGTTTCAGCTTGAACAGTAAAAACCGTAAAAAAAGTTCCCTGTTTTCTGGTATTCAAACCACTAAAACAAACAAAAGCTTATCTAAACCTCAATCGTGTGGCATATAGTTGGAAAGCTTATAATGGCGCAGGTTTTAACATATTCGGCCACCTTTTTGTATACAGGGTGTATAAAAATGCTATATACTAATGTTTTTATTATTTTTACTATTTTTATCAAACATCTGGAGTTTTTACTACTGATTTTTACAACTGTTGCTTTGTAGAAAGTCGAAACTAGTTGCGACACTAGTAACAATTAGGATTGCTACGAAGCAGGTATTTACACCAATTTAATTAAATATAGTAACTATCCAAGTTTGTGGAGATATAATTTCGCTTTTGAACATGAATCTACGTCTACATCTCCAGTGTCTTGGTATTGTTTGGTATTCTTTCGATCCTTTTGATCATCATATACATAGCGACCAGAAATCACAACGTACCCAAAATAAAGTGTCTGATAACTAATAATGTTCAATGGTGGCTCAAACTTATTATCTGAAGTAACATTGGTTGAAAACCAGATGTGTGTGTGTTGAAAATAATATTTATATGTTACTATATCTTGACTTAACATATTTAACAAAGGATTGCGATGTTTTATTCAGCGTTGGATGGTTACTACATTTAGCCATCTTACAACAGGTTTGTTAAACCTACAAATATAACAAAACTAAGCGATATAAATAATTTTAATTAAGAATAACTTTGATTACGTCATTAACTAATAACTTTGATGTAAATAGTGGCTGCTAAAAATGTACATAATAACAATATCTACACATATTTATTTATCTACATGGTAATTTCAAAGCTCAATACTTTTATTTGTATCTGTTTTATGTAATCAGTAAGAACTGATTTGTTGTTTAAGTCAAAATAGTCAACACCATTGGATTTTTAAACAGCAACTTTTCAAACTTTTCAGACGACCTTCCAAACAATCGTTTCACCTACATATAACGAAAGCAGAAACTAATCATATATACGGGATAATTTACAATTTGATCTCATGTAGTTTAAATGCGAGATTAAGTTACGTATAAAACGTTACGCGTATTTTACTTGGATCACACATTCCTTTTAGAGCGTGAATTCATTGAAAGAAGCATTGTCGACAACAAAGGAATGGACAAACTGAAGTTGTGCAACATTCACTGCACTCGCGAAAACGCATCGGCTGCATTGCAAAGGGTAGAAAGTGCGGCAACGATTGCGTCAACCTACGGAACGGACGTGTCATCATTTGGCCTTAATGGTTTCTGCTAGCGTTGTTGCGACCTTGTATACGGTGTAAACTATTTCTTGACGAACAAGTCATAACACCACGAATACTAAAAAAATACCGGCATGGATCATAAACATAAACAAATGACGTTTTTGGCCCGAATCCTATACTAATAGGATTTGGTTTAGACAGTTCCATTTAAACAATGTAAAATAATGTTTACTTTCGGGCCATGTTGAAGATCCATACCGGTATTTTTCTAGTATTCGTGCAAAACACGGATGTTTTAAATACGTGATTTTATGGTCTAAACATGTTTCACCTCGAGTCGAAGATTAGAAATCAGCTGTAAAATTATTTTCTGGCATAAGTCGTCCGCTGATGTTGCTGTAAAAATAGTTCGGATTGTTAAAAATATTATTGTATCATTATCAAAATGTTGAGTTTGCTATCGCATCATATTGCACGTTTCAATACAGTAACTTCTATATATTTAGACCAGTACTTCTCCATTTAGACATGTATTATGAGTGTGAATTTATTATTGTGTTGGCGGAGTTTCATGTTGCTTAGGATGCAGTATGGCGAAAAATATAGATACACGGGCCAGGTCGACCTTCACTTATTTTCCAACGTCAGATTCGTATCGGCCATTCAAATCCAGCTCTTGCAGAAAATGGTCACTATATAGGCTCTATAGTGATGAAATATTGTGATCGAGTTTAATTTATCTAGGATATCCTAATCCACCTTTGAATTACAATACATTCAACTAAGAGTAGGCCTATTGATATCTTGAAAATCCGTTATTCTCCAACTTCAAGAAGAATGTATTGTATAAATAAAATAGGCTTGATCAAATAGATGAAAAAAGTAGTAACGAGTAGGAAGCTACACAATAAAGTGTTTCCACCCTTACTTTTGCAACACAATAAGGTTGGGTGTATATTTACAGCATAGCCTACAGGTTAGAGTTGTGCATTTTGTTTTACATTTAATGTTAAACCTACAGCTTCGAGGATTGTACCTTTGTCATGTCTAGATTATGTTATCAAGTTTGCGAAACTACATATGGAATTTTGTAATAAATAAAACAAATTACGTAAATCTAGGTCGGGGCTTATAGCTGTCCACATTATAACTTATAGTTCAGTCGGTTATCTAGAAAACACAAATTTTACAGTCAAAAGGCTCTAAAGCTTAGCTATGACCTTATCTCATATCTCTACGATGCACAATTGGCGTACAACGAAGGAGAAATAAAACAAACCAGTCCTTGTGGATCCGTTCTTGGTTTATGAGTTTTCCATTCTTGTGCCTGTTTGATTACCTCGAGGGACACTCCAGCATTTACAATTATATACCATTACGGAAGATAGAATACCACAGGCCAGATGATTCGCCGAGAAAATATTATCGGTTGAAAATGTAAACCACAGAGCGGAGCGACAAAATCAACATAGCAACCCAATTCTCAGCATGGCTTGAATATGAACTTCTCTGCTCCAAACCGTTGCTTGCAGATCGGATTTCAAAACAGTTATGAGTCAGAGCAAAAGATTGGTTAGTTTAGTTAAAACCCTCGAAATGGCTTAACAAATAGTCGAGTACACGATATACATACAGTATTGTTCTCTAGCCTACAAAACACCTAAAACATACCCATTAGGCCTATCTTATATTTGTAAGAGAAATTTATTTACTACTGTTGTCGGAATGGTGAATTGGAAATCAAAACTTCTTTCAATTTTGGATCTTTTAACATTTATTCAGCTATGTTTTACATGCATTACAATACACATGAGAACATAATAGAGTGTAAATATATTTTCAGTTTATAACTGAATTATACATTTTTACCAACAAACAATAGCCTCTATATGTATGAATGTTTTTTAAATATTCGTTGATTGACAGGGGTTTCTCTGACTTAGTGTATAAGAAATACACTTCTTTGCACACTAAAAGCAGTATCTTGCAACAATTTTTCAACAAGTTTTTAATTTTTTTTGGCACTTGTTATTATATTGAAAAGAATTATTCTTGGCTCAGTTCTGACATGAGTTAATTTGCAAAACAGCTGTTACTGAAACTCACTCTAAAACTAAGTAACGTATTTATCTAATTAATTTAAACATTGTATAGCTTCAGGAAAGAGTTGAGTAGAAGGCCGAAAAATGATGATACTTTAGTGGTACAGACATTTGCATGTTATATATAAAATGTTATCTTCAGATTTAATAAGTTAAACGCTTACGTCGATAACGTAACACGGGAGTTTTAACGCTATGCATTATATGCCTACGTGTCTTAATCATATCACACGGTATGTCAATACAGTCAACATTGATCAAATTATAGAAACTCTAACTTGCACAACTCTTATTACGTAATCAAGTGTCCATTCGTTTGGGAGGAGTGGGAGCCATGAGGTCCAACGTCACGGTTTCAAACAAAAGGTCAAAATAAAATACCTTTTGACTTTTGACCTGTTGTTCAACATTTGGCCTCTTGCACCAGTCGACTCCGTTAACTGAAAACTTTCCTCCTCTTTCAATATGAATATCTTTACTTGGTCTTTAAAAAAATAATTAGAAATATTAACAGATTTAAAATGCCTTATCTGTCAAATTGAAGTATTAAAAAAATAATTAATCCTCCAAATATTATATAGAAAAGAATTCTTAAAAACCAGGAACAGTCTCTAACCAGAATTTTCACTATGCGTCGTTCGTACACTTTTGGGAATACGAAGAGATTTGTTGATCAAGGGTCTTGAGTTAAAAATCAAAAGATTAAACATCGCAATGTTTGATTTCATGATGGGACTTGTGGAAATGTTAAAGCAGATGGTAAAAAGTAGAACATTCATATAAGAAAACTACTGCATTGCTTTAGGAGTCGGGGCCTTTGGGCTATTCAAAAAGATTGTTGAGGCTTGACGATGACCACGAGATGAATCTGTGTGATATCTAGACAATGTCGACCTTGGGCTGGGTCACTGTGTCGCACTTTCTCCACCTACCAGACAAGTGAATCTCACATTCTCAGCCACAGCAAACCTGCACACTTTTATTTGAAACAGTTATGTATCAGTGTAGATCACTT